CCTTAGGACCAACTCTTACCTGGCATGCCCTGCAGCTTCCAGCACTGACTTGCATTCTAGCTGGAAGCCCATAACCTCACACCATGCCCCAGTACTGGTATCCACCATACTTGGTCTGTTCTTACCAGAGTGCAGCAGATGAGGAGAGATATATACACAGCCTGATTTTTAAGGTCAGATTATACTGCAAAACTGCTGCAGATGCCACAGGGTTATCATCAGGACTGCAAAGACACGCCAGTTGCTTCTTTTGTTTTGGAAGGGCTGTCAAACAGCCATAAATATATTATATGAACTCAGATGCAAGCATCCATTTGAGGAAGCAAGCTGGGAATAGTGCTCTGAGAGTGTAATAGCTAGATGAATATGTTCAGAATACATCAGATTTTGGAGGTAATTTGAAACAGGACAGCCTAAGTTTTGGGTTAGATAAGGCAGAAACCTATAAACTACAAGAATTTCTTAGCTCTGAAGAGGTAACTTGGGAAAGCAGAGAACAGATTTTGTCCACCTGGCCATAGTTAGTCCTCTGGAAAACAAATGAGGCTGCCCTAATGCTAAGTCAAATGAGAGGATAAGGAGTTGTACAGTTGGAATCCAGGGATGTCCTACATTAAGAAGTGACTTGCCATGTGAGAAGGGGAGAAGGGCTGGCTGAAGCAGCTGTTGGTCTACATTACCGAGGTAACATGAAGGATAAGGTTTCACCATACAGAGGCTTAGTAGCATGAATAATATGCAAGTTTAGAAGGTGACTGCAGGGGCCAGTGAGGACATCTGTCTATGTGTACTTCTGGAAAAAACAGGGAAGTAGAGTTGGAGAAAATGCTTAGGATAGACATGGTTATGTTTAAAGTCAGCGGAGACCATTGAACTGAAGTATCATCTTGATCCATAAGGGGGCATAGGTCTAGCTTGGAGATTAACCCTGAGAGGGGTCACCTTGCAAACCCTGCAGCTGTTCAAAAGACCATGGCTAAAGCTGATGGCAGCATTACAGGCTGGGTCACCAAAGGCCAACAAACTAGGGCACTGGCTGTGGTCAAAAACTACCAGGAAAAGATGCACAATCTGATTAGCTTCAGATTGGAGGTGTATTTTAAAGTAAAGTTAGTGGACAGCTGAAATTTGAGCATAAACACTAGGATTTAGACCAGAAGAGGCCATTCATCTAATGTAATTTATTTTAGAAAGCACATGTGAGGTAAAAGGAGCTTAGTCAGTTAAATGACTTGGTTTCATTTGCTTCTGAGGATGAAAATCATAGTTCACAGAATTAATGCAATGGGAAGGGTTTATCTAGGATTGAGTTTGCAGTTGGAGCTAGGAAAGGTCATTGTTTACGTAACTTGAGAAGATGTGGAGATAGGAGCCAACTAAGTTACACACACATTTTGCAAACCAAAAAGGGTACCTGCTTTATTCAGTTAGGACTAAGAGGCAAGTTAGGCACTGCAAGTGAATGCTAGGCAAAATTAGGGCAATTATGATTTCACCGACATCCAAAAATGGTCCCCCAAATTAAGCCAGAGATGTGCTTAAACCTTTAAGCATAGTTTTAGTTATGGGTAAAGGAAGTTAGAGATATTTTTCAATTTATAACACCAGCAAATAGGAAGGAAACAGAATAACTTCTTTTTATATAATTGCTACTAGTTTAATATAAGTACACTGACCACATTAAGGATAAGTCTCAGCTAGAGTAAAAAAAGAAAAATACCAATAAAAACCAACAACAAACCAAGCCAAAAATACTTCAAGTCTCAGTCAGAAATAACTGAAAATGGACCTAAAAGCAAGTTTCTGCCTACCTCCTCCCAAAACCATGTAAACTAATCTACATGTCAGAGAGTAGTTCACACCAGGCCTGATCTGAGGCTAGCACTCTTAACTTCTTTCTTTTATTAATATTTTCACAACTGTCTCTTTAAAAAGTGTTCCTACATGGCAGCTAGCAAGGCCCATAGTCATACCCACTGCTAAGTAAAATCAAAGGCATTTACTCATACTAGTTTTGGGATATAATCTTTTGGTTTGCATATGAATTTTGAAAAAAATCTTTACAGAAAATGAAAAGGTCATTGTGAGAATGTTGCCTGCACTTGCAAGTGTTCACTCAGACCCTAGATTTGAACATATGTGAAGGTTAGTGCTTCTTCAGAAGTTATCTACCAAATAAACCATCTTTTCTCAAGTTTCACTTTCAGTGCACCAAAAAAGAACACCTAAACCAATTCTGATGGTTTCCAATTAGTTCTGAATAATTCACAAAACTGTGGATTATTCATGTTTGGATGAAATCTCAACTACTCCAGTATTATAATCTGTCTGTGTTTAGCATTACTCAGAGTTAGCACACTTGTTAAAATTAAAATCTGTTTGCAAATAATGTAACCAAGGGATATATCAAAACCATGAAGGATGAACAATGTATAGCTAGATCCAGCTGAATAATCAAGACAAGCAAAAAAAAAAGAGGGGGGAATTATTGGAGGGGTGGAGACATTTCATCGACTCAGCTTATTATGTACTTGACTGAGATCTCTCTTGACAAATTTATCAATGTAAAAAGTACCCAAAAAAAAGAATTATAAAGTGAATGAAGTTTAATAAAACATATGGATCATGTTACCTTTTATAAGTGGGCACTGATCCTGAAGCTACTTCCTTCTGACCTGATAAACAAATCCCCTAGAAACGAGTCTGCAAGAAGAAAAACTAGTTCCCTATATCAGCGTTTAGTAAGGAGGTTTTAAAAGAGAAAACACTACTGCCTAGTGTCAGTTAATCAAGCACTTACTGAAAATTTTACTTATTTGCATATCAAAAGGATGTGGCATACTGGAAGCTGGTAAATCTTCACCTCACTGCCTTGGTAAGTGTAATCATATACATTATTTTTTCTTCATGTGTGTTGCGTATTTCTGCACATTTTTGACATGTATTTTCTTTACAAATCTTTTGCTACTGAGAGATTCTACTCATAAAAGGAATTCATAAGTATTAAATACTTATAAATAAGTAACTTCTTAAATAACTTATAAATAATTATAAGTAAAGAAACTAATAAGTTTCAACTTATTTTAAAGAAAATAAGCCTTGTAAACAGGAAAAAAAATAATCATGTTTTTATATGAGACTTCCATGAAAGGTTGTCTCATCCTTTCTATTTCTGCAACAGAAATCTTTTCACACTGATAACTGGAAGCTCCGTGGTGAGTTGCAAAATTCTGCATGGGGAAGATGTGATTATTAAAAAATTAAAAAAAAAAAAAAAAAGGAAATAAAGAAAGAGAATGCCTGGACAATGATCAGTCTTTCTATCTCATTATGTAAACTTGAGGCAATTGCATTTTACAAAGTAAAAGTCTTCAAAGATTAAAAAGCAGCAGCAGCAAATCTCATAGGAATGGTGTGCAACCACATCTTTGCTCAAAATTGGAAAATAGTAATAATTTCTCATTATTGTCATTCATTATATATCTTGATTGTGAGTTTTAGTGCTTCTCCATTTTAATAAGCATGCATTAATTACTCCCTATCTGTTAAGGATGAATTAACAGATGCTAATAAAATTTTGGCTATTCACTACAGTTGTAGTGTAAAAGCCTTTTACATTACAAATATATGCTTTTTCTTCCTGCAAATGTCTGAATGATTGTCTTCTAATGGCTGAAGAATTCATAAAAAGTAATACACTTTGAACTAGTAAACTTGATGAAAAAATTATTTTCTAATCACTTTGCAAATCAACCTGATGGGACTATGCAATTAGACTAAAATAATCCTAAATTTGTGATACTCAATAGTTCAAGAAAAAAGTTAACGTATGTTTGAGTAAACTCATTCTAATAAATAGAAGTGCCCAAAGAAGCCTGCAATTGTTAACAAATGGAATATTCCACTTGGCTGCACGAAGAAGCTGAATTAAAGAGGTTGAATTAGCAATCTTCAGTTATAACTTGAAATGTCAGTCCATTTTTAGAGAAACTAGCCATCAAAATACCTTTAGAATACAGCTTCATGAATCACAGAACATAAGATTATTTACTAATCAATCAACGGTTATGTTACTTTGATCAGTTGTCTTCATTATTTGATTACAACATATACATCACATTCATTGCAAAATACTTTTCCTGCT